TTTTTTTTTTCAACGTTTATTTATTTTTGGGACAGAGAGAGACAGAGCATGAACGGGCGAGGGGCAGAGAGAGAGAGGGAGACACAGAATCGGAAACAGGCTCCAGGCTCTGAGCCATCAGCCCAGAGCCCGACGTGGGGCTCGAACTCACGGACTGCAAGATCGTGACCTGGCTGAAGTCAGACGCTTAACCGACTGTGCCACCCAGGCGCCCCTAAAAGGGTAACTTCTAATAGACTTTGTCCCTGGCCAACATTCCTTGAGAAACATTATGGCTGGCTTAATCAAGGTCTGGTTAAAAAAAAAAAGAGTTTAGAAGAAAACCAGTTAGAATGTACTATTATTAAATATGTAACTATAGGACCCAGAAGCTATTGCTTTTAAAATAAATCAGACACAGAGCACCTGGGTAGCTTACCTGGTTAAGCGTCTGACACCTGATTTTGGCTTAGGTCATGATCTCATGGTTCGTGGGTTGGAGCCCAATGTCGACAGCGTAGTGCCTGCTTGGGATTCTCTCTTCAGTTCTCTCTGCCCCTCCCCCACTTGTGCATGTGCGCTCTCTCTCTCAAAATAAATAAACTTTACAATAAATCAGATTCAACAGTGTTAAAAAAAATCCACCATGCTTTCAAGAATTTACCCCACATATATACTTGAATGTGAAGTAACCTATTTACAAAAATAATGCAGCATCTTTACAGTAGTAAAAAACTGCAAAGAATCTAGAAGTTCATCAAAAGGTGAATGACTACATTAACATTGACATATTCATTTAATGGAATACTACACAGCTGTTCAAATGAATGCGGCAGCTCTTATCTATGTAGCTCTAAAATATATTATTGAGGGAAAAAAACCAAAGCACAGAATAGAGTATTTAGTATAACTTATGAACAGAAAAGGGAAAGATAAATGTATACCCACATATATACTTGGATTATGCATTGAATATTTCTGTACTTTAGACAAGGAGACAAAAATGGGCTTTAGGTGGGTAGGAGATAAGTGAGTAGTTTCTTTTCACTATATAGCTCTTCGCTCAAAAAAAAAATCTCAAAATAAATCTATGTGTTTGTATTTTTTTCTTCCTGGAATATTAAAAACAAAAAACAACAACAGAAAAACACCCTCTTTTCAAGAGCGTTTAGGGGCGCCTGGGTGGCTCAGTTGGTTGAGCGTCTGACTTCGGCTCAGGTCATCATCTCGCAGTGTGTGAGTTCGAGCCCCACGTCGGGCTCTGTGCTGACAGCTCAGAGCTGGAGCCTGCTTCAGATTCTGTGTCTCCCCCTCTCTCTGCCCCTTCTCTGCTCATGCTCTGTCTCTGTCTCAAAGATAAATAAAAACATTTTTAAAAAATTAAAAAAAAAGAGTGTTTATGTGTGAGAGAAGTAAGGGGCTTTTGGTTTTCATTTAATGTCATTTCACTAATTTTCTGACAAGTATCTATTACTTTTATATGAAATATGATTTAACTTGTAGCAGGATAGAGTTTTTGCACCTGCCCTTCTTTATGCTTTCATGCAATTAAACAAAAAAAAAAAAGCCAAAACCTTTTATTTTTTTGAAAAAGCTGTTGCTGGCCATCCTTCTCTGTTGTTTAGAAAACATTACCAGGGTCATGATCTGCAGAGGCCAATTCTCTCCTAAGGTTTATTTTATTCAGATTGTGTCTTTCCTGGAAAGTTTTTGAATCCAGCTTTATTGGTTTAAAATGTAAGGTCTTTTGCCCTGTAATTCCACCCATGTGTCATTTCCTCAAGTTCTAGTAAAATGCTCTGAAAGGCCTGAGCCTTTCACAAATTATCACACACTTCTTAAGGGCACAATTTCCTGGGCCTGGACTGTTCATTAAGAGGAGACAAAAAAGTGCTTTATTCTCTTAGTCAGGGTGACAGAGGTGAATAGCATAAAGAAATGGCATACAGAGGTGACGATCAGCTTCAAATTGTGACTATTCAAACACAAAGCCATGCTTCAAAAGTACAGAAGCACTTTTGCTTGTGAGAAGTGAGAAATTGGTGAGAAATTATTGCTATAAGTAATCTACCAGATCTCTCCAAAGCCTTATGACCACTTCATTTGTTTACGTGACCCCTGATTTTAAGGAGTTGTTGAGGTTAATTTACGGAATCAATAGGCCAGTTTATCCAAAATGGATGACAAAATAGAGGTGAACACATTATTGAATTAATTTAATTTTAGGTCTTTCAGTTCTATCATGTGTTCTAGCTCTTACAACTTTTATACATTCTTTCTTCATATGACATTAAAAAAATGCATTAAATTTTGTCTTCATGCCCAATTAATTTACTTATTACAAAAAAAAAATTTTTTTAATGTTTATTTTTGAGAGGCAGAGCACAAGTGGGAGAAAGAGAGAGGGACACATAATCCAAAGCAAGCTCTGAGCTGTCAGCAGAGCTGGACATGGGGCTTGAGCTCACAAACCGTGAGATCATGACTTGAGCCAAAGTCAGATGCTTAACTGACAGAGCCACCCAGGTGCCCCTTTACTTACTTATCTTTGAAGTAAGCTCCATGCCTAGTGTGGAGCCCAATGCAGGGCTTAAACTCAGGAGCCTGAGATCAAGGCCTGAGCTGAGATCAAGAGTCGGATGCTTAACCAACTGAGCCACCCAGGTGCCCCGTAATTGCACTTCTTTTTTTTTTTTTTTTTTTTTTTTTTTTTTAATTTTTTTTTTTTTTTTCAACGTTTATTTATTTTTGGGACAGAGAGAGACAGAGCATGAACGGGGGAGGGGCAGAGAGAGAGGGAGACACAGAATCGGAAGCAGGCTCCAGGCTCCGAGCCATCAGCCCAGAGCCCGACGCGGGGCTCGAACTCACGGACCGCGAGATCGTGACCTGGCTGAAGTCGGACGCTTAACCGACTGCGCCACCCAGGCGCCCCATGCACTTCTAAAGACAAGTGTGCCTTGTTTGTTTTCTTTTCTGGCTTATGTATCAAATGGAATGAAGGTAAAGATAAAAGAAGCCAAAAGGGAGGAACAAGATTATGTTCCTTCCTCCTGGAGACCTGCTGGTCTCCCTCTACTACCCTTTCTCAGCGGTTTTTAACTCAAGGAGCAGCTGGTAAAGAAATATTTGCAGAGTTCCAGATCCAGTGTCATAAGCAGAGTATAGAAGGGTGTGTTTGGAACTGAGAATAATTTAATAACTGGTATACATTCACACTTCTTATATATAAAATTAAAATAATTCATATGAAATTTTTATGCATCTGATTAATAAGTTCTTTTTAAAAAATGTTTATTTATTTATAGACAGAATCCCAAGCAGGCTCCACATTGCCAGTGCAGAGCCCAGACTCACAAATCATGGGATCATGACCTGAGCCGAAATCAAAAGTTGGGACACTTAACCAACTAAGCCACCACCCAGGAGCCCGTAATTGGTAACAGTTCCAAAAGCACTTTGCACTTGCTTGTTTTTCTCTTTTCTATATATAAAATACAAGATGATACAGTTTTATTTAATAGATCCAACTAGGTATTTGAGCACCCATGAAGAACACTAGATTAGGCCCTGAGAGATTTATATTATCTATTATGTACAATGAATTAAGTATAAGAATGGAAAGTGAGGTCTCTGGTCCTTATGAATTTTGGAAAAAAAGACTAATTTTTTTGAATAGCACTGTTTCTAGTAAGAAGCTTAGACTGAGGACATTCCCACTAGCATACATTTCTGTGGCATTTAGCAGTTATGAAATGTAAATTATTCCTTATCTGCTATAAGGTAATACATCAAGGCAAGATTTATTACCTTTTCATTCCATCACGAAAATGATTGTTCTAATTTCACCCAATGGCATTAAACTGTTAACACTATTTTTGCAACCTATTTAACAGATAATGTTAAAATCAAATTATCTACAGTGCACGAACTAACCTTTAAGATTTAAAATATGTAAGTGTTTAATAGTCTAATGTAGGGATGTTTAAAAATATATTCTACAGTAGAATGATTCATTATCACAAGATGGATTTTCCTATCCTGTTTATGAGAAGAGAATTATGCTTTATTTTGTAACATTTTCCATTTTTACTGCTTTTCTCTGGTTAAAAAAGAAATCACAGTACTAAACTGGGACACATGCAAGTTTGTTTTCTGAACAGAAATGAAATGTTAGCTGGAAATCAGAGTCTGAGTCGTCTTCATTTGAATATATATTTTATTTAGAATGCAGCACTAACAGCATGATGATAAACTGTCACAAATTTATACCAAGAAGCACACAATCTTTCAAATGTGTTGTTTTTTCGCAAGTAATTTAAGTATAGCATTATTGTTATTTGGTTACGAGAGTCAAAGACGACATTTAGATTCTTCAGCTCTGGAGCTTTTAGTAACATCAAAATGATTGTCTAGTCAGGCAGAAGAGAGAAATTCAAAAGCAGTTTCTTTTTCTTCTGCCAGTTCCTTTGCAGTTAGATCCATCTTCTCACGAGAGAAATCATTAATAGTGAGACCTTCAACAACCTTCCAGGTCTTGTTCTGTTTGAAAATAATTGCAAATAAAAGATTTACAATTAAATGAGAACTGATCTTCCAGCAAGCAACAACTCAGATTGAACTTTACGCTACAGGAGTATCTGTTTTTAAAGTCTGATTCTAAAGAAGCAAATCAAAATCCAGATCTTAACTAACATATAATTCTGGTAAAAATTCAACACTTGGATTTAAAACTCATTGAATCTAGAAAAAAAATCTTTAAATGAGGATTTAATTAGCAAACGTTAAAAAAAAAAAACTAATGACTTTCATATGGTCATAATAAAAATAAGATACTATTGGTAGGTATCCAATATTAGAGGCATAATAACAAAGTACATCTAGTGACAAGAGGTGAATCTTGCTTTCCAGATTAATTTCAATCTTTTAGTACCCTGACGTAGCGCTTCATACAATTTTAAAGTTGAGAAAAATGTCTAAACTTAGTAAAAGAACAACTTTCTAGACTAACATACCAATATTAATAAAAATATGTAACTACTCTCCCAGAAGGGAACAGAGGGAAATAACCCTAAAATACGATACCTTGATTGTAACAGGGAATGAGTACAGCAGATCATCAGGAATACCATAGGGGTTGCCATCAGAGATAATGCCCATGGACACAAATTCTCCCTAAAAACAATAATCAACGTTGTATATTCTCATGGTGCTTAGGAATTAGTTCACACAAGCAAATGAACATGAATTAACAAAACTAAACCAGGTAATGCTTTCTTACTATGTGCCTGACTTCAATACTGTATAAGGAAGCATCACCAGGCACTTCCATGACAGGTTAACTTCCATGTGTTATTATCTCATTCCACTCCTCCAATCCTTGTGAGAAGCAGGCCAGAGAAACTGAATTCTCATTTCCTAAATGAGGAAGCTATGGCCTTAATATACGTTTTAGGAAAAAAGTCACAGTCGCCAGGTGTGCTAGGTGTTTTCCATATATCATCTCATCTAACCCTTAACAACCCTGTGAGAAATGCCATGTAAAAGATAATCAAATGGTTCACAAAGTTTAAGTAACTTTCCCAAGATTTTTCAGCCAGTAGGCAGCTGAGCTGGGATATAAACCTAACCTTCCTGACTGCAAGGTTATGTTCTTTTCACAGCACAACATCAGAGGCCAAAAATGAAAGAGCGGCCTGTACAGATCATGGAGTCCTCACCTCTGGGGTTCCAAACCAGATGTCTCTGACATGGTCACAGATGGCTTTTGCAGCAGACATTGCGCTGGACAGCTTTCGAGCCTTGATGACAGCAGCACCACGCTGCTGCACAGTCTGGTTGGGGACAGGCAGAGACAGTATTACTTGATCATGACAGGAGAGTTTTTATCAATTCTGAGCTAATCCTGGGATGAAAGACTACAATCATAGTTTAATGTCTTCCCCTCCAAAATCATTCAACTACCTGGTGTGGGCCTTACCAATCTATCTGAATTATAAGCACCAGTCTTTCTGAAAAAAGGAAACTACAAATTCACAGAGTTTACTACATTCCATATAAAGAAATGGATCTCGTTATAAAGATGAACTGGATGACTGGAGGGAACTTTAGTTTTTTCTCATTTTAGCAATCAATCTTGACTGCCACACAACAGATGAGATCTGACTGGATCAAGATTGGCTGTGTATGACCTGCAAAGAAAGTATGTAGTCACCAGAGCAACTGTGAAAGGCCTGCTCTCCTTGAGAACCACTCCACCCCCATCCCTTGGAGAGACACTCAGGTCAGCAATGTGGTGTGTTTCTCTAGAGTTCTTTATGCATGGCTGTTAAGAGATTTTTCTTACTGTGATGAATTCTCCTTTGAGCCAGCTGTCATCTTTCAGAGCATCGTAAACACCAACTTCCTTTCCATGCAGTTTCACCTTGGCATGGCTGACATCTGGATACTGAGTTGAGGAATGGTTTCCCCAGATAATGACATTCTTTACATCATCAGAAGTCACACCAAGTTTAAGAGCAATCTAGTGAAATAGAAAACAAACACATTACTTAGACAAATGCTTTTTATTTCAAATTGTGCCTGACAAACCCTTAAAATAAAAAGCCTCTGAAACTTCAAGAAAACACACAAGTTATACTGATTTGTAAAATAATATAGTGTTAATTATTATTATAATAATTTACTGCTTGGTTATTTCCTAAAGCTCAACTGTATAAACAAAATGTGAACCCAAAAGATTACAAAGTAGACTATTTGAGAGCAAAGAGCACCTCAGTTTGTGCCTGACTTATCAGTATAGTGGGTTTATCAAATATAAAACACCAGCAAGAGATTAATATGGTTTGAATATATAAATGTGACCTTTGCTTTGTCGTTAATACTTACTTAGAGATGTCTCCTCAGTACTTCTGAGAATCAGGTTAGAATATGGGATTTTCTCCACATTTAGGGGAAATTTTTATTATATATCATAAAAATGAATTAGCTAAATTTCAAATAATCCTATGAAATTTTGGAGTGGGAAGGGATTCAGATTACCAAAAGTATGACTGTCCTCAGTTTATAGAACAGGGAACCAAAGGAAAGACTCTAAATGTCTCTAAAATGATACCAGAACTAACAATTTCTCATTGTAGGTTCAAAAAGCACTTGAGGGGACATCTCGCTGGCTCGGTTGGGGGAGCATGCGACTCTTATCTTGGGGTCATGAGTAGGCGCTCCATGCTGAATGTAGAGATTACTTAAAAAAAAACCAAAAAACTTAAAAAAAAAAAGTACTCTAGGATCCTGCATGCCTTATAGTCACATGACTATCAATTATACTATGTAGCCACACAAAGGGTTAGAAAGTTATGTTTGGGGCGCCTGGGTGGCTCAATCAGTTAGCATCCAACCTCAGCTCAGATCATGATCTCACAGTTCATGGGTTCAAGCCCCACGTTGGGCTCTGCACTGACAGTGCAGAGCCTGCTTGGGATTCTCTCTCTCCTTCTCTCTCTGCCCCTCCCTGGCTTGCACTTTCTCTCTCTCTCAAAATAAATAAATAAATAAATAAATAAATAAACAAACAAACAAACAAACAAACAAACTTGGAAAAAAAAAAGTTATGTTTTGAAAGATTTAAATAAACAAAATCAGTTCACTTATTTTGTTATTGCCTGATAAGATAATTTGCAAAAAGAAATTATGGTTAGTTACATGTATAATTTGTTCTTAATTAAGACAGCAGAATTATGATGGACCAGAAGGGAATGTTTTGGGAAAAAATTTTTAAGAACTGAATGTGTTAGGGTAACACTGTGGGTGATTTCTCTTTCTTTCATATTACCAGTAGAATGGGAGAGAAAAATAGCTGTGCCAGAGTTCACAGCTTTTGCATACATCAATAAAAGCACTCCATCCAAAGGATATATACTCTGATAATTTAAGAAGATTTAAAAACAATAAGGATAGCCCCAAATTGGAAACAACCCCAAAGTCCTTCAAGAATGGTTAGAAATGGTGGTCCTTCCATACAATGAAATAAATGGGAATAACTGCACAAATAATAAAAAGGAGTAAACTATTGATACAGGCAACAACTTGGATGGGTCTTAAAGGCATTAAACAGTATAAAAAAGTACAGGGATTCTCTGTACTATTTTTGTAACTTCTTAGTCTATATTCCAAAATAAAGAGTAAAAAGCAATAGACCAACCAACCAACCAACCAACCAAAAAGGACACTAATGGACAAGGCCAATACCTAAAATGCTTTCAATGACTTGATTCATCTTTACCCTAATTTATTCCAGCAAATAAAAATCAAATTGTGTTCACTTTCACTATAACCCTTAAAATTGAGACTTGTTTCTTAAATCCTACAATAGTTAGGGACGCGTGAATGGCTCAGTCGGTTGGGTGTCTGATTTTGGCTCAGGTTGTGATCTCTCATGGCTCAGGCTTTGCACTGACAGTGCTGAGCCTGCTTTGGACTGTCTCCCTTCCTCCCTGTCCCTCCCCCACTAGTGCTCTGTGTCTCAAAAATAAACATTAAAAAAATTAAATCCTACAGTAATTGGAGGATTTTTTTTTAATATGAAATTTATTGTCAAATTGGTTTCCATACAACACCCAGTGCTCATCCCAACGGGTACCCACCTCAATGCCCATCACCCACTTTCCCCTCCCTATCAACTTTCCCCCCATCAACTCTGAATTTATTCTCAGTTTTTAAGAGTCTCTTATGGTTTGCCTCCCTCCCTCTCTGTAACTTTTTTTCCCCCTTGTCCTCACCCATGGTCTTCTGTTAAGTTTCTCAGGATCCACATAAGAGTGAAAACATATGGTATCTGTCTTTCTCTGTATGACTTATTTCACTTAGCATAACACTTTCCAGTTCCATCCACGTTGCTACAAAAGGCCATGTTTCATTCTTTCTCATTGCCAAGTAGTATTCCATTGTGTATATAAACCACAATCTCTTTATCCATTCATTAGTTGATGGACATTTAGGCTCTTTCCATAATTTGGCTATTGTTGAGAGTGCTGCTATGAACGTTGGGGTACAAGTGCCCCTATGCATCAGCACTCCTGTATCCCTTGGGTAAATTCCTAGCAGTGCTATTGCTGGGTCCTAGGGTAGATCTATTTTTAATTTTTTGAGGAACTTCCACACTGTCTTCCAGAGTGGCTGTACCAGTTTGCATTCCCATAATCGGATGATTTTTAAAAATTAACTTACAATTTTGTTTCTGACATTTAAATCACTTCTCATCTAAACCCTGCTTCATCTGGAGTTCTGCAAGTATTAGGACTATTAAAGCACATCAGTCTTCACAAAGTAGTTGGATAGCTTGTTTCTAGAGAATCCAGCTACTGATCTGCTTCGTGGTCGAGGCAGAGTGGTATGAGGTACAATGAGTACCATTTTCTGTGCTATGACCTTCCTGGACTTGGGAAGAATTGCTCTTACTTGTATTTAGTAGTTATCATAGAGAAAAGGGAAAATTTACCCAGGGCAAGCAACCTAAGATGTCTGTGACCAAGAACTAAGAACCTATACCTTTGCTGAATATCAGCCTTAACTGCTCCAGGGTACGGTGAAGACAAACTGCTTCCAGGCCTCTCCTCCCTCCAGGAAGCTCCTTCCTTCTTTTGTCCTTTGCTTACTTCCTCTTTTTTTTTTTTTTATTTATTTACTGAGTTAATCCATTTCTGTCTGGACAGCAAAGGCCAGTACTTTGCAGATGTAGTTTCTAAATTTCATTCGTGTCAGAGCGTCTAAATTCACGTGTATCCAGGATTGCACTTCCTTGCTCCATTACATGCTGTCATGTCTGCCATGTAGACCTGTTAAACAGTTTTGGACTGATTCTCCAGCCCCAGTAAATTTCTTCCCCCTGGTACCAGCTAACTAGTTGTACTGGCAAATTACCCTGTCAGCATACATATGCAGCTCTGGTTTGCAAATACACAGGGGAATTCTGCAGGTGTTAGACAGTCACTGGGTATCTAGGCCCTGATTTCCAAAATGAACTACGTTAAGACTAGCAACATTCATGTATGAAATAGTCTTGCATTTGTTATTTTTCTCACTGGATTAACAACTTCTATGGGAGGAAGAAACTGCTTTTTCAAAAACTTCCTACAAGCTCTCACTGTGCCAGACTGACATGCTGGAACATGTGCCAAAAGTTAAAGTCTAACAAGACTGCTTTTTTTCTCTTTCCTCATTAGACTTTTGCCCCTACAGGGAAAAGGGTTTCAGGCACTGGGACAAAGTGTCACTTAATAGTACCTCTGTAAGCAGAATTTTCCAGTGTCTGCCTCCACCAAGGCCTCAGTTCAAACAGCAGAAAACCAAGTTTGTCAGGGTCCTTACCTTTTTCCCTGTTGCATGTAGGTAACCATCTTGCAATCCAGAGCCAAGAAATTCAACAATGTTTCGTAGTACCCAAATGTCTCCACTCATTCAAACTAACTCCTGTTCCTTCCACCCACCAGATTCTAGCTAAAAAGTAAGGAAGAAGACAGCTTACAGCCTAAAGCCTCACAGGAAATATTTGCAATTTAAGCTTGTTATCGGATGGCCTTCTAAATTAATTGAATATTCAAGGAGATGTATATGAGGTATGGCTCTTCTCAACTTTTGGTTATATCCTTCTTACTACTACTAACTACAAATCATTAATAGTAAGAGCAACCCACTTTTATTTAGTTTTACTATGTGACAGGTACCATGATAAGGGCTTAATGTAGATCTTATTTAATCCACATAGCTTCCCTCTGAGATAGACAGAATTATTATCGCATTTCATACCTTAAATATACTTTCTCAAGGTCACAGAACTAGTAAGAGTGGACTTAGGTCACCTGACCCTGCTACGTAAGAACACACCTAGGGGTTTGGACTCAGATGAATCTAGGTGGCAGGATCCCTGACCTCTCTGGGCTTCAGGTTTCTTATCTGTAAAATACAGATAATAACATACCTCATATGGTTATTAGAAGAATTAAATGATAAATTACATGTAGACCATTCCGCTTAGGGTAGAAGCTTAACAAGTATCAATTCTTTTCTTCCTTACTAGGTACTCCAAAGCTGAAAGTTGATCAATTCTCAGTTTAAAGCAGTGGTTTTTCAACTTAGACCTCACACCATCTTTTGACAAAAACTTTTCTTGAAACTAAAATTGTTTTTAAAAAAAATGTTTATTTATTCATTTTGAGAGAGACAGAGAGAGAATGAACGAGGGTGGGGCAGAGAGAGAGAGAGAGAGAGAGAGAGAGAGAGAGAGAGAGAGAGAGAATGAATCCCAAGCAGGTTCTGTGCTGTCAGCACAGACCTGACATGGGACTTGATCTCATCATGAACCATGAGATCATGACTTGAACTGAAATCAAGAGCTGGACACTTAACTGACTGAGCCACTCAGATGCCCCAACAAGGTTGCGTTCTTTAGAAGGAACAGCGGGGAGCCTATGTGGCTCAGTCAGTTGAGTGTCCAACTCTTGATTTTGGCTAAGGTCATCATGATCCCAGGGTCATGGGAATGAGCCTTGTATTGAGCTCTGTGCTGAGTGTGGAGCCTGCTCAAGATTTCTCCCTCCCTCTCCCTTTGCCCCTCTCCCCCACTCATGCTCTCTAACATAAAATAATTTCTAAAAATGAAGAAAAAGGACTAAATTCATACACTACCTAACAGTGATGACCTGTTTATGAGGAGGCATGGTCAGAAAAGTGTTAAGGAAAAGGAAAGAGGTTATGTCCAAGAACCCTGAACTTTGTCACGGCTTTTGAAGGGCACCAGGATTGTCTAGACCCAATAAAGCCTAGGAGACCAGTACAGATAATTGGCCGTGGCTTCTCATTTTTTTAAAAGGCTACTGTTATTACCCTGGTCACTGACTCCTTGGCACATTTATCTAAGACTCCAAGGGGTAAGGGCACTTGAGAACAATTAAAATTTAGTTGCTAAGAAGTGGTAATTAAGAAGTTTTATGGAAACAATGTAGAATAGCAAGAAGACAAAAAAATAAAATTAGATATAAAATTAAAAAATCTGAATCTGATTGCTTAGCTATAGGGAAAAAGGAAACAATCACATAAAACACAAAAAACTGAAATCTTTCTTTCTATAATGTTCTATATATCTCACAAAAATCAACTATGCATTGTCATGTTAATTATCTATACTAATGACTGATTTTTTAACTACTACAGTAAGAGACCATTAGGAACAGCATTTTAAATATAGTTAGCAAATGAAATATAGTGAAGAAAATTTTTTTTCAAAAAATTTTTTTAAGTTTATTTATTCTGAAAGAGAGAACAAGAGAGCATTGAAAGGGCAGAGAGAAAGGGAGAGTGAGAGATCACAAGCAGGCTCTGCGCTCTTAGCGCAGAGCTTGATGCGGGGCTCGAGCTCACAAACCGTGAGATCATGACCCGAGCTGAAACCAAGAGTCAGACGCTTAGCCGACTGAGCCACCCAGGCACCCCTATAGTTGAGAAAATTAAGTATGAAGCTCAGCGTCCTTAGGAGCCTAGATTTAAAGACTCCCTAATAAATGAGAAAAGCTTCCTACTAAACAAAAACAATAAAATAAAGTAAGTTTCAGCTACTTTAAAAGTGAGAGAAAAAGGTTTTAAAGTTGAACATTCGTAAGATTTTAAAAGGTGTTTTCCTACCTGAGCTTTAGCTCGGTTGTGATCCAAACGAGTCAAGCAACTGAAGTTCTCCTTGGGGATGGACGGTGCCGACTTACAGGCAGTCAGGCAGTTGGTATTGGCTGGGTTTCCCACCACAATAACCTAGGAGGCATAGCACCGTTATAGACCACATACTGATTAACTAAACTATCTTAGAATAGGACTGACGAATGTGTAACATGTAGTCTTTGTGTCAAGTTTGTGTGAACAAAATAGGCAAAGTTACCACTGCAGTTTCTACTGTATTTCCACCCCATTGTTAGTGTTTGGTACAATTACGCAAAACGTGTCTTTAAGAAAGCTACCAGTATGTACACAAGTTGCTGTCCAGGTGACAGTGTCCAAGACCTGAGGTCCATGTCTTTCTATTTTGTTTTGTGCCAAAACAGAGACAAATCATTTATCTAATTGCCACACACACACACACACACACACACACACACACACACACACAACCCTAAGTAATCCAAGGCTCTAAGACATCAATTCATTCATAAAATTTTCCTTTTTTTTTTTTCCTTCCTTCCATAAAAGTAATCCAAGAAAGAAATTCTACTTGAGCAGTTCACTTTAGGACAATGATTTGTCTTTATTAATTGAGAGTATTTTCAATCTTGCCTAATCTTAAGAATTAACTGGGATTTGCTAAATTACAGATTACCAAATCCTACCCATCCATACCTACTGAGAAGGGAGAAGAATCCTTAGAAGAAAGCACTTTAGGCTACTTTTTTTTTTTTTATTTGGGGAGGTACAGGATACACTGCATTATAATACAGTATAGGAAAATATACAGAAAAATCCACCATGGACTTTTTCATTCAAGTTTTTAAAATCTTGGGGCGCCTGGGTGGCTCAGTCGGTTAAGTGGCCGACTTTGGCTCGGGTCATGATCTCACGGTCCGTGAGTTCGAGCCCCGCATCGGGCTCTGTGCTGACATGACAGCTTGGAGCCTGGAGCCTGTTTCGGATTCTGTGTCTCCCTCTCACTCTGCTCCTCCCCTGTTCATACTCTGTCTCTTTCTGTCTCAAAAATACATAAACGTTAAAAAAAAAAATTAAAATCTTTAATAAAATTATATACTTACCAGGAAATAATGCAAACTTACCGAAAAGCTGCAAGAATAGTACAGAGACTACCTCCCACATCCTTTTTACCCAGATTCCCCAACTTGCTCCATCTCTCTCCTCTCTCTCTCTCTACACACACACACATACACACACACACTATATCCTTAGTCTTTTTTTTTTCTTTTTTTTGGCCCATTTGAGAGCAAGCTGAAGACATGATACCCCAATGCCCCTAAGTACTCCAGTGTCACTGTGTATTTCCCTAAAAAGGACACTTTTGGCTGAGGGGTTAATTACTGTGGAAGCAGTACCACAACTCCAAGCAGCCTGGAGCAGTCCAAACAACGTTGTAATTTTTTGAGACCTATGGATTTCTCCTCAACTTATTTCTACTGTTTTCTATTAATGACTATAGAAGATAAAAGTAAGCTATTTGAAATGAATTCTACAGAAAGCAAAAATTCAGATATATGTATATTATTATAATAGAACATTGTAATTGGCAACTTTAAAAATCTTAAACATTTTCTCTTACTTTTGTTTAAAGTCAGGATAGGGGGAAAAAAAAGTCAAGACAGGGAAGAATAACTATCAAAATCAATAAAACCTCTAATCAGTAAGCCTTTTAGCTATGACAACTAAGTTCTAGTTAACTGATATTTAATTGGTAAAAGAGGTCTTATTATAATAATAAGACAAATTTAGAAATAAAGTACCTTGAACACAAAGAGAAAAGGAAGTTACACCAATTCCATTCCTCAAGAGACAAGCATATCAAAATTCCTCTGAACTGAGAAAATCTGAGCATTTTAGAAGACACACCTCTCATTGCTGAGAATGCAACTTACAGCCATCTCTCTCTACAATCACAAATCCAAATTCTGAACAAATATTTCCACACAGCTAAAAGGCACCAGAAAGTTCTGTGCCTTCTCTAGAAGTCTCTAAATTAATACTGAATTTCCATATTACAGTAATGAGCAAACTATTTTTGAAAACCTCTAAATAAAAATTTCTACATTATAGGGAAAAAAAGTTTTATCAAGCAAAATTCTCTATTTACTGACCACAGCACAGAACTGGGGGGGGAGGGGGAGGCAAATAATTTTGCCTCCACTTAAATGCTGAAACAAATTTTAAATGCTGATAATGAAAACCCCCATAAAATACTATATGGTCACCTTAACTGACTTCTTGGCATATTTCTCCAAGGCTGCACCCTGGCATTTGAAGATTTTCACATTTGCTTTCAGTAAATCTTTCCTCTCCATGCCATCCCTTCTTGGCATGGAGCCCACAAGAATGGCCACATCCAGGTCTTTGAAGGCAATATCTTCTTTATCTGTTGCGATGACATCTGTGAACATGGCAATAAATATGGAGAGCTACTGAAACACCAAAGTCTGAGGTCTTCTTTTTCACATTGCATCTACCCAGTACTTCTTTCCCTTTGCAGCAAATGTTAACATTTATATATCATAATGTTTAAAGTTTTAGGGGCCTAAGAAGGGAAAGACAATACAGTCAACAAACAGAACATCAGCAGAAATGTAAATTACATTTATTTTGCTTTTCCTATTTCAGTAATTGTTTCAAATCCAAAAACTCTATAGCTGTTTGTTCTATAATCAAAGATTGTACAAGGTATAATAATAAGTTTCAAAGCAACATGTTATTCACACTACCACAGCATGAAAGAGAAACTAATTTATCTATTTTTACGTTGTAATTACTTTAAGGTCTAAGATCTGAATCACACATTCAAAATAATGTTTATTGAGGAGTTTTGTGCCAGGAAGAACACTATGAATTTTATTTTATTGAATTTAACTTTAATATTTGATACATGAAGACAAAGAGGTTTAAAGAGATTAATTAGCTGCCATCAAAAAGCAGTGAAGCTATAATTCCAGCCTGGGTTGGTCCAGAGGTCAACCACTATTCTACTATGTTAGTCCAATAAACATCCACCACTTGTTTTTTGATTAAAGAACATATATCATCACTCTCCTTTGTTGATAGTATCAAAAAGGCCATGACTAGTGCTACAGACTAAATGTTTTTGTCCCCCACAAAATTCATATGTTGAGACCGAATCCCCAATGTGATGGTATTAAAAGGTGGGGGTCTTGTGGGAGATGATTAGGTTAGAAGGGTACAGCTGTTATGAATGAGATTAGTGTCCTTATAAAAGAAGCCTCAGAGAGCTCCTTCACCCCTTCCATTTTGCGAGGACACAGGAAGACAGTGGTCTATGAACCAGGAATTGGCTTCTCACCAGAATGTGACCATGCTGGTACCTTAATCTTGGATTTCCTAACCTCCAGAACTCTGAGAATTATTTTTGTTTGTAAGCCACTCAGTCTATGGTATTTTTGTTATAGTAGCCCAGATGGACTAAGACAACCAGGATTCAGCATTGTCACTGGTAAATTTTTACGGTGGTCAACTTGTGTCACAGTAAGGGTGCTGTAAAGCCCCCAACAGGTATACAAAGAAACATTACTTAGTCAGGGGGAATCTTCTTCCGTGACATGTATCCTTATTTGCAGAACTTTCCCTCTCTGTTCACAGCTGATCGGGGACAAGCTATTAACTAGACCCATTAGACAGAGCAGAGGAACTCAGCAGAGAAAGGAATAAAAATGCAACAATGCAATAAAGTTGATTTGGAAAAAGAGGGTGAGTTGTGTGTCAACTATACTTCAATTTAAAAAAAGAAAAGAAAAGAAACGAAACGAAACGAAACGAAACGAAACGAAAAGAAAAGAGAGCCAGAAGAATAGCTTGCACTCTCTTATACAATATGCACCCACATGATTTAGGCAGCAGAGTACTCCTTCTAGTAAATGTCTATTGAACAGACATATGAATTCTGAGCATGGTTTCTCTTGAGTGTGCATATATTTTGTTCTGTGTGAACTTATAGAATATTAGTTAATCCTTACTAAAAGAAAAAGATCATAAAGTATACGTAAAGAAAAATATTCAAATTAGTTTACAACTTGACCTAACATTTTAATGAAACGTTTGTGAAATTTGATGAAAAGACTTCTGTCTTACATTTGTGCAACAGTTCAACGACTCTCAAAGGCTCTTAGCAGAACTCTCATGGGCTTTCAAACTATGCAGCATACGATTAGGACAATTTATGCTATATCTCAATCTGATAACGGCTGTGGGTCGAGACTCTACGTGAGGGACTAACCAATTTCCAGCCTCACGGCAATATGGCTTTGGAAGACATCACTTAGAGTTCAAAAGTTCTCCATTAAAGGCGCTATTACTTGTTAAATAGATTTTAAATAACAACATAATGTGAACAATCTCAGGTGTATAACTCTTGTGTGATATTATGCTTAGTTAGGTAAATCATATATAAGCACCTTGGAAAAAAGGCATAGTTTTTAACCGACACGAGTTATTTCTTGCTTTTACCCTTATTTATTCTTGATATACATCTTACCAAGTAGTTGTAGCTCAAAATACAAAAACACTTTTATATAAAAAAATTTTTTTTTAATCTTTATTTATTTTTGAGAGAGAGAGAGAGAGAGAGAGACAGAGAGAGACAGATAGACAGGGCGTGAACAGGGGAGGGGCAGTGAGAGGGAAACACAGAATCTGAAGTAGGCTCCAGGCTCTGAGCTGTCAGTACAGAGCCCGACGCGGGGCTCGAACTCACAAGCCGCGAGATCATGACCTGAGCCAAAGTCGGACGCTCAACTGACTGAGCCACCCAGGCGCCCCCGAAAACACTTTTATGAAAGAGTTTCTAATTGAGAGGCTGGTTAAAAATCTCTTTTTTGAATGACATAGAATACTATAATATCCTTTTCTCCTCCACCCCAACTCACCTTTCAGGAGGGGAAGGGCACAGTCTTGCAGTTCCATTAGGACACCATCTAGGACACCCATCATGGGAGTGATATCCAACAGCACAAGAATTATAGGCTGCCAAATAAATAGCCAACGACAGCATCTGTCAGTGTAGCTTATGTCACTCAGTCACAAAAAAGTCCTCCTGCAGAGTTTTTGCTTATTTGGTGTATGTATGTGTATAATTCCCATTATTAGTTATAATTATTTTAGGAGGTCAGGTTATCATCCCACTTTCAGAAAAAGGAATGCTAGAAAACCAGCAACAGTGTGCTAATAGACAAAGTAAAAGGAATCACCACTATTGAATTTTAAAGGAGTATACAGGGAAGAAATACCAAATTGAAGTGACATGCCACAGCTCACTCGTATGGTTCATAGCTGTATACCTGATTTTAGTTCATGAAAAGCTAAGTATAGTGTCTGGCATGAAGGAAGAACTTGATATCCATGGGTGAAGAGAAATAATAGATGAATACTTTAGAAACGGACTTTAGTGTAACCAGACCTGCTGGAATAGGGAGTGCCTGCTTTAAACTGGAACACAGATTTGCCTGTCCAACTATTTTGTGTCTAAAGACCACTGGCAAACAAGGAAGTCCTAATTCAGTAGCTTTCTCTCCCACATGACTCTACTAGTTACTGTTACTAGTAAAAATCTTCCACTGACTGACTAATACCTGCTGGCTGTACCCAGTCAACAAAATACAGTATGTGGAATAGTTCTGATCTACAAAGCATTTTCAATGCCTGGAAGAGCACATATTAGTAAGATACCACTTACATTCATAGCAGTGTGCCTACTACATTTATTGGGATAACCCATTCCTTCATCATTTAAACATTTCTTTGAAACTAAATACAGGGTTTATTGACAATGTTCTAATTTTGATTTGAGGTATGTAGAAGACCTACCTGGTCTTTACCAAAGACAGATCCATTTCCAATACTGTACAGCAGTGAATATGCAATTTGACCAGCTGCTCCAGTCACAAGAACTCTGATTGGTTCAGACTGTAATGAAAGAGACTCATTAATTAACATCTTATTTACAAATGCTGTTGTATCCTAAAGATGTTCAGGATGTTCTCTGTAACAAGACAAGCACATACTTTAAAAGTTACTGTAAAATTAAAATTTTTTTTTAACATTTACTTATTTTTGAAATGCACAGAGAGATAGAGTGCGAATGGGGGAGGGGCAGAGAGAGAGGGAGACACAGAATCTGAAGCAGGCTCCAGGCTCCAAGCTGTCAGCACAGAGCCTGACGCGGGGCTCGAGTTCATGACTGTGAGACCGTGACCTGAGCCGAAGTCGGCCGCCCAACCGACTGAGCCTCCCAGGTGCCCCAAAAGTTACTGTGAAATTTTAAAGTTTCTTACCATTTGGCTTAGTAGAGGACTAACTTATTTCAGACTTGTCCAGTAAATATAGCATGCCCAAATCTGGAACATGTGTCCGTCCTTTGGCTGTGTTATTTCTGTGGTGTTATTTACCTCTGTAAACCTGGATTTACTTACAAAATCGTATCTATCTTTTTAAGGCTATTTTGCCACTGAAATAGGCCTAAGGATGTTGAGGTGCCTTATATGGTGATATAAACTCTCGTAGTCACTAGAGCCTTATGCAGATCTCCCCACTCCCACCTGTTCAATAGAACCCTCACACCAGGAAGAGGAATAATAGTGGCTAAAGTTTTCTATTTACAATGAATCAGAAAATTTTAATGAAACTACTAATCATGATTCAACTTAACTACTTGAAGGAGGAAAATTAAGCCTTTATTTTTTATGTAAGGAGAAAGAAAAACAAGAAAATGACATCTTGATTATAATAAATTTTAGTATTAAATAACAACAAAATAATACAGTGACAGTTGACAACCCGACTCCAAGGGAAAATTAATTTTAAAAGAGAAGTACAGAGAGAATAGTTATAACAGAAGTTGCCTTATAGACCTTAACAGATCCTGAACAAAACACAGACATATGGACAAAAATAATAACTAATATTCAAAATGATGATCCAGAGTCACAAAAAAAAAAAAAAAAAAAAAAAAAAAAAAAAAAAAAAGCTCAGAGAATTAAAAAGATAGAAATATTTCTTTTAAAAAGAGTTAAACAAAAATGTTTGGAACTTAGTGGATACATTTACTTAGATGGAAACATTTAATCAAGGTGAACTGTTCCTTTCCTTGACAATGCTGGGTAAATGGACTTCTTCTGTATCACCCATATTGTTACCCACAGGAGAGAAGTGGCCCACTGAAACGAATGGTGAAAGAAGCCTGTGATTTCTTTATATTTAGAATTCTCTCTTCCAGGTGAGTCATGTCTTTGGGATAGAAGGAGACTATGTCCGATGACCTTCCAACCCTAACCTCTGAAGGTCAGCAGCACTTAGCAATTTGGTACCCATAGAAATCAAAGGAAAAAATTCTCAAAGAAGTACCAACTGTTGTAGAGAAACAAGTCTGTACATAGCAGACAATGTATGCTTTCTTCCCAAAGATGTGACCAGAGTATGAGTGGAAAAAAGGAGAAAACTATGGAGAGTAACTATGAAGGTTATTCCTTGACCTTCTAGGTCTCTTCCCCATCCTCTTCACCAACTTTTCCCCTAGGCCTTCCCTACCCCTAAAAAGACAAAATACGGTAATTCCCCAAATAAACCAATTTTATTACAATACATACTTCTGTTTCCAAAGAGACTTTAGGTTTATAAAGAATACTAAAACTAATTGTATATGGTTATTTTTTATCATATGGCCTTTACTTCTAGGTCTCTTCCCCATCCTCTTCACCAACTTTTCCCCTAGGC